TTCCTTGGGATGTTAATGGATAGAAACAAAAACTTAGGTGATCAAAAATATTAGGGAAATGCTGGGTTAAAGCTAAAAGGGTACCTTGCCTGCAGGACTTTTCAGAGCCTTTAACATGATAATATTATTTATGCATCTCTAAGGTGGGGGGAGGGGGATGCGTCTGTTTCTCTAACTCTTTTAACCTGGAAACCCATTTTCCAAGGTGAAAGCAGCTGGACCAGGTGATGACAGAAATAACATGCCTAATTTTTGGGGCATCTTCTCCCAAGCAGGCTCTGTTCCCTAGGGGACCTGACCACCTGTTTCCTACGTTCAACCCCAAGTGGTTGTAATGTGCTTGTGATATCAGTCTCTCTTGCGGTGGAGAAATAGGTGGCTCAAAGAGGGGTGGTCACTTGCCAAAGGCCACATGCTCATGAGGGGCCGTGTCAGGACTGGAACCAGGTCTGTCTGAGCCTCAACCGCTAGGCGCCACTGCCCTGGGACTGCCACGGGACTTGTTTGCCCTGTCATCCTGATCACACATCACCTGGGGACATCCCGGGCCTTCAGAGGCCACCACCTCCTTTGACAGATTTGAAATTGAGGCTCGGAGAGGCCCCACAAGTCCCCCCAGGGTCATATATGGAGTCAACCAGGGCCAGTTTTCCTGCCTCCTCCCCTCCCACTACTGCTGTCTCAGGGAGCTGGCCCCGCTGGTAATTTAAATAGAAATCCATGGGGCACGTGGGTGGCTCATTTGGTTAAGCGTCTGCCTTCTGCTCAGGTCATGATCCCGGGGTCCTGGGATCAGCCCTGTGTTGGTCTCCCTGCTCAGCGGGGAGTCTGCTTCTCCCTCTTCCTCTGCCCCGCCAGTGCCCGCTCTCTCTCAAATAGACAAATAAAATCTTAAAAAAAAACAACAACAAAAACAACAAAACCCAGAAATCCTTCTGGCCACCGGTGCCCCTGGCTGGGCCCCACCTTCCAGGCCCGCGCAGGCGGCAGGTGGGGCCCATGAAGGCCCTTGAACCAGCCCGGGTTGCGCAGGCGCGGTGTGACGTGGGACAGCGTGCACGTGGGACCCACGTGGGGGCGGAGTCCTGCCCAGGTGGCAGCCAGAATGTAGGTTCCGAGTTGAGAAGCTGAAGTCGTTGGCTGTTGCCAGGCAAGTTCAGGGGTTGACCTTGTCTGCTTGCCCTCTCCAGGAGTGGGGAGGTGCTCTAAAGGCCGGCGGGTAGGAAAGCACAGAGCTACCCCGGAAAGGTGAGTGTCCCCCGCACCGGCCCCTCCGCTCAGATATTTGCCCAAGCTTTCCCGCCCCTCTGGGGCTGCTCTGATGTCTAAGATGGGGTGATGATCTTCTAGCAGTTGTTAATGACAGGAGGTGTCACCTAGGGGAGGTTATGTGGCAGCCACACGTGGCGACCACGTTGGACAGCTCAGCTCTAAGCGGTGTGAGCCCAAGACGGCTAAAGGGAGAGAAGGAGCCGTGTCCCCACGGGAGACCTAGAGAAAGGCTCGCGGTTCTGCCTGAGGTAGGGGGCAGACAGATGGCAGATTCTCCCCTTCGGCCCCTTCACCCAGCACGAAGTCCTGCCCTCGGAGCGCGGGACCCCCCGCTGGAGCTCCGCGCTGGAGCCAAATTGGCCATATTTGGGGCTTGGGGCTGGGGGCGGGGGGGTCTGTGTTTTCTGCAAAGTGCAGCGGCGCCGAGGGCGGGCTCTGAGTCAGGCCCGGCTTCTGTCCCAGCTGCTTCTCCGTTCTCCACCGTCAGCTGACTTTGGGCAAAATGATTGCCCTTCTGGGGGCCTCACTGGCCTCACCTGCGCCGTGGGGACGTGCACCTGTGCCTGTTGAGTGGCGAGGAGGGGACTAGGTACTGTTTAGCACTGAGCCTGGGGACTGGTCTGCCTGCGGTGACCGTGGACCGTTGTAGCATTGATGGCGATGTCGTTGTCACCTGCGCTGTCCCTCCAGTGTGGCAGGTAGTCCAAGGTGATTATATAAATGGAGGGCAGGAGTGCTGCCCGCTGGAGGGCCCGTTGAGATCAGCCAGCCCTGCTCCCAGGGAGGAGCCCGGCCAAGGCACCGGGGAGCTGGTGCTAGGACAGGGCTAGCGCCCCAGTGGGACTGTCTGTACCACGTGCTCCCACCGCCCTGCGTGTGGACCCGCCGACCCAGCCCACAGAGGGTGAGGTTTTCCCAGAGCAGAGGCGGGTCTGTCCTCAGCCCGCATCTCCAAATGAGGGGGACCTGGCCTAAAGGGTGGCTCCAGTCTTGCCTCCTTGCACTCCCTTGATGCCCCAGTGGGGGTGGGCCTGGGCTACCCAGAGACCACATTGGTGGGAATAGCTGAGCCACAGGCCACCACCCAGCCCTAAACCTGGCTCTAGACCCCGCTGCTCTGCCCTTCCCCCAAGTTCCTGCCCCGTGCTGTTGTGTCCTTAAATTCCCTGTCTGGCTCAGGGTCACTCCAGGTAGCAAAGCCAGGATTCCCACATGCTTCTAGTTCACGCCGGAGGCTGGGCCTCCTGGGGTGCTGTGGGGCCGCAGGCGGACTTCAGCTCCGTGTGAGGGTGGAGGCTGCGGGAGAGATCTGGGGGGTGTGGAGATGGCCTGAGCCGGGGTGTGGGTCCTGATGCCAGAACCTGGCTCCCTCTTAGCGTCCTTGTGGCTGTTTTCAGGTTCTGTGTTCTCATCTGTAAAATGGGGATGATTTTGTCACACATCTGAGGGTGCAGTTGTGAGGCTGTTTTGGGAGGTCAGAAAAGCGCTTTGTCAGCTGCCGCTTACATACCACTTATGGTCACCCCCGGCGGCCTTCTGCACAGCGCTGACTTGGGTCAGCTCATCACCCGGCACACCCCTGGGCTGCTCCCCAGGGCGTGAGGGGTGCTGTGCTTTGTTCATTGACCCAGTTCAGAAGGGCCTGGCACCCAGGTGGGGCTCTGTGCATGGGAGGGGAGGCCTGCATTAAACTAGGGGCTCTCCAGGCGCCCCCAGGCCAGATGGCAGGCTCCCCTGCCAGGGGATAAGGCAGAGACAGGATGCGAAAGAGAGTCCATGCCATGGGGTTCAAACCCCAGTTTTTCAGACTTGCTGTGTGACCTTAGGCAGGTCACTTCACATCTCTGAGCCTCTTGCAAGGACGTGGTGAGGCTCCAGGGAGATATAGTCTAGATGAAGAGGCCCAGCACAAATGAAGTGCCTGCTAAATGCTGAGCATCCTGGGTGGACTCCTGCAGATCCGCCCCCGGCCGGCACCCTGGGGTGGGTGTGTGCTGGGGCTGCCCAGCCACTTTGGCCTGCCCGCAGCCGCACTGTTCCCCACGGAAGCTTGGAGTGTGTCAGGAACAGAGGAGAAGCTGGGAAGGAATGTAGTGATGCAGGGGGGGACACCATCCCCAGACCACCTCCGCACCATTCAGGGAACGAGCCACGGGGCCCAGGCTTGGTTCTGCCTCAGCCACTCTGCAGACCGATCACTGGCCGTGACCCAGTGGCCTTCAGCCTGTGTGCTGACATAAACAGGGTACATGACAGCGTCCACCCCTAAAGAGCTGGAGAAGTAAATGACCCACAGAATGCCCAGTGCGGTGGGTGCCAGGAGGCTCCTGGCCTGCTTCCTCAGGGCTCCGTGCCCGGTCAGCAGGGGAGGAGGTGGCCCGTTTTACTCCTAAGGGAGGGAAGGAAGGAAGAACAAAACAAGAGCTACAGAACAATTCCACAGCTGAGACACCATCTGTGTTTTCCTTCTTTTTTCTTTCTCTTCGTTTTTAAAACAATATAGTGCAGACTGCACTTCTCACAGTAGAATATAATGGTCAATTTTAGTATAAAAAAAAAACATTCTCAGAGATTTGTAAATGCACTTAGTGCTTGAACAGGCCTTGGAGAGATACAGTACCGCTTCCGGAGTGCCAGAGGGGCCAGGGCTCGGGGAATCCGGGCCTTGGGGACGTAACGGGGAAGGGGGGGGATCCCTGCCTGCCTCCCCCGCTGGACCCTTGATGGTGCGCGGCAGGCCTTGGAGGGCAGCTTGCAAGAAGGGAGTTGGATTGGCTCTCCCAACTAAAACCAGTAGGTCGCCTCCTCGCTGGCTCCTAGGGAAACCCCGGAAGAAGGGAGGGTAGGGTCCTTCTGACTGGTGTCGAAGATGGCAGGCCCACTGTTAGCCCCTGTGGTGCCTTTGTGCGAATAGGGAAAATGGCACCCCTTCCTCAAGATTCGGAAAATTGCCATAATAAATATACAAGTCTAGGATGCAAATGGTGTCTCCTTGGACGAGGTGCCCTTGTGCAGTGCACAGCCTATACAACTGTGTCCAGCAGCCCTGTAAGATGTGGCGAGAAGGGGAAGGTGGTAGTACAGGGTTTGGAGAGAGTGGGGATGGGGGTACAATTCTGTGTTGGGAAGGAATGGGAGGAGGGGAAGGAGAACCTAGAGGAGGAGGGAGGAGCAGGGGGCACTGGTAGTCCTTGGAGCCTCTATTAGAGTGGTCTTCACCTGGATTGGCCAGCAGGGGACACTGTAGGCCCTGTGACTTCCTATGCCCCTTCTTTGCTCCTTTTCCAGGAGACCGGGGAGCTATGGGGGGGGGGGCTGCTCTGACCCCACCCTGACTCTAGACTGTCACATTTCCTCCTGTATCCCACCCTGGCCTGAGCTCCTCTCCTGGGAAAGCCAGAAAGAACCATTCCTGTTTTAAGGTGGTTTCTCTCTCCCTGCCTCTGCCAGCTTGGAAGGAGGACAGGCTGGCCGTCCACGGCTGCCCTGGGCCCTCCCCGTATCCTAGGGCAGTCGATGGCAGGGAGGGGCCTGGGGGAGCCAGGTCGCCCTGCTACTCCCCATCAGGTGGCCGCATGGCAGCAGCCAGCCTGGCTTCCCTGTGGGCCTCCATGGGCACCCGGGCATGGGGCGAGGCCGGGTGCCCCCGGGCACCGCCCACCCTGCTCCGCGGCCTGCCTCCCCGCTCGGCGCCCTGTCCGTCTGTCCGTGCGGCCGCCGGGCAGGCCTTATCTGTAGACGGGCAGGCGGATGTGGGCGTGCTGGTGGTCGAGCAGCCGGGGCACGGCCACTGTCTCATAGCCCTTGCCCAGCATCTGCTCCTTGATGCAGGGGGGCCGGATGTCATTGATGAGATACTCCAGCGACTGCAGGCTGCTGCTCAGCACCGCCGTGTTGCACATGCTCTTGCTGGGCAGGCCCGAGAGGGCCTCCACGGGGGGCCCCGCCAGCTCCCGGGCCGCCCCCGGCCCCAGCTCGGTGACTGCCGCTGCCGCCGCTGCTGGGTTGTAGCAGTCGCTGGTGGGGGTCACCAGCACGCTGTTCCAGGGGGCGGCGAAGTACTGGCCCACGGTGAAGCCGGTGGGCAGCCCCATGCCGCAGTTGAGGGGCGACCCTCCGGCCCGCTCATACACCCGCCCCCCACAGGCCTCGGGGGACTTGCTGGCCACCGTGCCGCCACTGTAGGCCCGCAGCGGCTGGGGTGGCGGTGGGGGTGGCTTCTGCGGCCACAGCAGGTAATCCAGGCCCCCGTCCGCATACCCTGCAGGCTTGGTGGCCCCAGCCAACGTCAAGGCTGCCGTGCTCCCCTGGCCCAGCTCGGCGCCCTTCCGGCAGTCGGGCAGGCCGGCAGCGGCCGCGTAGGCCATGCCGGGGAAGCCGGGCACGGGGCCGTGCTTGGCCGGGCTGGGGCGGGGACCGGCTATGGCCTGGCAGGCGGTGGGCGCAGCGCCCGGGGCCTGGCACTGCTGGTTGAGCTGGTAGAGGATGCTGTGGATGGAGGGCAGGTTGGAGGGCGGCAGGGGCAGGCCGCGGCCGGGCAGGGGGATGACGGAGGCGGCGGTGGCGGCAGCCGCGGGCAGGCCGGGCGGCGGGGCGGGCGCCTCGGGGGGCTTGGGGTAGGCCAGGGGCCCCAGAGTGCTGGGCGCCGGGTAGGGCGCGATGCCCACCTGCACGGCGGCCGGCGACAGCTTGGTCCGCTTGCCCTCAGCACTCTTGAGCACGCTTTTGGCGGGCCCGGCGGGTGCGGCGGCGCCCGAGGAGACGGCGGCCTTGACGATGGCCAGCAGGCCCTGGTAGCCGGCGGCGTGCTGCGGGTACGGGCTGTAGCGCTGGCCGCTCGTGTCATAGCCGTTGACGGTGCGGCCGAGGTGCTTGTGCTGCGGCACCCGAATGTTGGTGGGGAAGATCTTGATGGACAGCGGGCTGTTGGCCACCTTCTCAGCGTAGGCGTCCAGCTCGGCTGGGCTCGGGTAGCGGGACGAATGCATGGGGCTGGCCGCCGTCTCGCCTACGGGGACAAGTCGGAGAGGAAAGCACAGGTGAGAGCCGCCCCTGTGAGCCGGGAAGGCCACAGCCCCGCCGCCGCCAGCCGGGGTGCGGGGGGGGGCTCACTCTGCCCCGGTTCCCCATCCATCCCCTCGCTCCTCCACTTTGTTCCTTCTACGCTCCGAAGCTCCGGATCTGGTGTCAAGTAGGGGAAGGAAACCACACATTTCGTAAGCTGAACTTTCACGGAGGGAGCGCGCTCCTGTAACACCCGTGTGCCCGAGCGATGGGATGCTGCCAGTCCCCCAGAGCCCCGTGTCCCCGCCAGAGCGCACAGCTGTCCCGACGTCTGATGGCAGTGTCTGTACAGGGAGAATGGAATCCTGCCATGCGACCCCGCCAGCATTGGCCTCTGCCACTTAGGGTGGCTTATGGGATTCGCCTGGGGGTGGGGGGGGGCGCGGTTCGTGCTTTCTCACTGCTCCGTGGTCCTCGTGTGGGACGCGACATCACAATGTACTCGTCCTTGCTACTGTTGAAGGAGTTGGGGCCGATACACTTAGCACCACACGCCCTCATGCCCACATTATCCAGTGATTTCTGTTGGGACTATGCCTAGCAGGGGGATTCGGGGCAGGTGAAGATGCAACCCTAGGAGAAAATACCCGCAGTTTTTGCCAAAGAGAATGTGCCAGGCTCGCCCCCGCCCCGGCAGAGCACAGGAGTTCTGGGGCCTCCACACGCGCGGTGATGCTTGGTGTCACCTGCCTTAACACCACCGCTGGGAGGCCGTTCCTCCTATTTCTTCATCATTCTCTCTGTGCCTCCCTTTCCTCATCTGTAAAATGGGGCGATGAGGACCTGCCAAACTCTGTGGGACGGTTAAGCGTGCTGCTGCATGAACGGAGCCCAAGGCCTAGAGCGGGGGACGTGATGCAGGCAGGAGCTGCTTCCACCGGCTGCTCACACGCCAGTGCTCAGTACGTAGCAGGTGAGGAGGGACTTTACACACCCCAGCTGCCCAGCTCCTCCCCGAGTCTGCCTGTCATCCCTGCCTTTTCTGCACACTGTCAGCATGGGGCTGCAGGGTGCACTCTGTGTGACAGGCTGACTGTCCTACTCTTGGTGGCACAACCGGCCCCTCCCATGGGGGAGGTGGGTTGCTGTGGGAGGACCCCCCGTCTCCCATCCCAAGCCCCTCCCTGGGCCTGAGACATTCCTCGGTGCTGCCCAGGACCGTCCCTGGGTGGGGAAGGGAGCAGGGGCCTCCATGCAGTAGCTGGGAAGACCGTGGGCTTTAGAACCAGCTGGCTGGGTAGAATCCTGTCTGCTTGTGGGGCTTTCTGGCTGTGGGCAAATAAATGGCTTGCCTGGCTGAGCCTCAGTTTCCCCACCTGTGGAATGGGGATCATGATTGTACCAGTCCTGCAGGGTGGCTTGGAGGGATGACTGTGCCAAGGGGCTGAGCAGAGGGTGTGAGGCATGCAGTTGGTGCTGGGAGGGGGTGACCTCTCTGGGCCCGGGAGGGGGCGAGGGGACCCCTCAAGGTCTCCACGGCACACTGCCTTCCTCCTGCCCCATGAGCACCCCTTGGGCCCACCAGTGACTCTAGGGGGGTACTTGAGAATGAGGCTTCTTCACTCTAAGCCTCGGTTTCCTCGTCTGTAAAATGGGGGTGATGTTGCCGGGGACACTGCCTCCCAGGGTGGCTGTGAGTTGTTAATGAGTTGTGTGTGGTGGGGTGGCGTTAGCAGAAGCAGGTGCGCACTACACGGGAGTGGTAATACCCTCCCCATCTGCCTGGGATAAGGGCCTTCCTGGGGAGGAAGGGGCAGGGGCTCGGGCTGCCCTTCCTCTTGACCAGCACAGGTGGGCCTGGCATGGTGGCTGGGGTGGAGTGCTGACGCCACCACCTTTCTCAGGCCTCCTCCCCATCCGTTGGAAGGCCTCACCCCACATCCCATCCTTCCCGAGGCTCACCCTCAATCCCCTTGTTGGGCTCACAGCCAATCTGAGCAAGGTATGTGCTGTGATAGGGAGGCACAGGCATTTTGGGATACAGGGGGGCCTCACTCAGGCAGGCTTTGGAAAGCAAGACCGCTTTCTAGAAGAAAGAGCATCCCAGTTAAAGCAATGTTCTTGAAAGGGGTGAGGAGGGAGCAGAGAAACAGATTTCAGGCAGAGGTCCAGAGGTGAGGAAGCCTGTCCCGAGTGGGAAGTATAAGTAATTCAGAATGAGAGCAGAATCCCAGGGCAGACAATCATGCGAGAGAGGCGGCCTGGGAGGGCATCGGGCTGGTGCAGACGGGCCTCTTCACTGTAGGGCAGTGGTTCTCCATCCCACCCCCCCCACCCCCCCGCCCAGGGCACATTGACCAGTCTGGTGATGTATTTGGTCCTCACACTTGGGTTGGGGGAGCCTCCACCCCAGCTACTGGTGTCCAGTGGGTAGTGGCCAGGGATGCCACAAGACATCCTACAGTGCACAGGACTGCCTCCTCCACAAGAGTGTTGGAGAAGCCCTGCCCCAGGTTTTACGCAGGGGAGGGGTAGGGGCAGGTATGCGTGTTAGAAAGGTCATCCCCCTCTGCCCTGAGGTGCAGGAATGTGGTCTGACCTGGGCAGGGCAGCAGGGAGGGAAGAGGTAGGCAGCCCTCAGCATCCCAAGGAGACTGGGCAGGTGGCCGTCCATCCCTTTGTCCTGATCCTGGCTGGGCAGGTGGAGCTGACCCCTGTCAGGCCACAGGCCTCCATCCTGACCCTGCCTGGGGCAGCCCCCTCCTAAGTGGCCTAAAATAAACTCAGTGTGGAGAATGGAAATGTCACTTTGGCCAACGGGGGAATCTTTCTCCGAGATTGGATTTAAACTACATTATACAAGCAATTTCATGGGCACTTAGCGCCGCTCGGAGAGTCCCGCAAAAAAGGGACCAGCTCTTCATTTACCAGCCATAAATCAGCAGTTGCTATAATGAGCACAAAAATGTCACTTTTATGCAATTTTACAGATGAACAAAACTGGTGAAATTAACTGTGGTAACCTACTATAGTCAGCAAAAGAGGCTGCCTGGGAAAAAAATTATATCTGTGTGTATTTTTGTTCCTCTTAAACCCTCTTCCCAAGCAGGTTTCTGCCATTGTGGTGTGAAAACTCATTTGTCCTCACCATTATACTTTCATTTGGAGTTTATCTTGAGTATCCAATGAGCCACCAACTGTGAAAATGATTAAATCTACAAAATCTATCTAATGGACGGAATAAATTAGGTGTTTAAAACCTTTAAGAAGAAGGAGGGGGGGGCGGATAAAGAGAGTCCTGCCTGTTACTGGTTCCCATCCACTGAGAGGAGGAGCCTGTCTGGGCCCCGGGTGGTCAGCGGGGCTCCACGAGGCTGGGTTGGGGTCTCCAGCATTTGTGGGAGCAGATGGGGGCCGCCCTTTGGCTGCGCTGACTACGGGCTAGGCTCCGCGCCCACAGCTTTTCTTGACGTCTCTTGTTTGGAGCACCTGGCCCCTCTGAGAGCTGGGAGGGGTCCCCGTTTTACAGAGGAGGAAGGAGACTGGTTGTGGCATTTGGCAGGCAGCCTCCAGGATCTGCCATGCTCCCTGTGCAATCCTCCTCGCCTCCTGATTCTCACCCCTGGGTACAGTCTCCTCCCAGGCCAGGCGACCTGTGGGACCTCTGAGGTCCTGGGGAGGAGACACAGTGTGACTGTCATGGACGCACTGGGCTTCCTCCTCACCCACTCGAATCACTTGCTCTGGGAGCAGCCCACTGAGCAGCCTGCAGCGAGATGAACTGGGGTCTCCTGCCCACAGCTACGCGAGGTGGCCTTCTGGAAGTGGGTCCTCCAGCCCCGGTCAGGCCTTCGGATGAATGCAGCCCCAGCCGACACCCTGACTGCAGCCTCAGGGGAGACACAGAGCAGAGCTACCCAGCGAAGCTGCCCGTGAATCCCTGACTCACAGAAACCATAAGAGAGAATACATGTCTATTGACGTCTTAAGCCACTAAGTTCTGAAGCAACCAGTTAACACAGCAGTAGATAACTAGCACAGGCCCCCAGCTGGCAGACGAGGAAGGGAGCTCCCAGCCTCAGAGGCCACACAACTGGGCGAGGCGCAGAGCTGAGCTGCGGACCCTGTCTGCCTTCCTTCCAAGTCCCCTCCACCGCACCTGCATCCCAAGGAGGGGCCTTTAAGTCAGCCTGGAGGCCCAGAGAGGTGGGAGGTGAGTCCCCAGAGATCACAGGCCAGGCAGCTGTCACCCCTGCCCTCGGCCAGCTCCTGGAGCCTGCCGGCTGGCAGCCCACAACAGACCTCACCTGGGCCTGTGCTCAGGGTTCTTCAGTGTTGTGCCTGCGAGTGCCTCGGGCAGGGGGCGTGGACCTGCCCCTGCATGTGACCAGAGTCCCTTGTCTCAAACCTGGCCTGGCTGCAGTGTCTCTGTGGCCCTGGGAGTCTAAAGCTCCTACTCTACCCCTTGTTCCTGAGGGGCTTTCTCCGGAACCTTTTCTCCGGAACTTTCTCTTACCACCCTAGGTACCTCAGACCCAGCCTTTCCCACCAAGGGATGGCAGCCGTGGTTTGGGGGGGTCTCTGGCCACTCGGGCCAGGCTGGGCCCCCTACCCGGAGCTTGGTGAAGGCTCTAGACTCTCCCCTGGAGGGGGGGGGCAGCCACAAGTTCAGCCCAGCTGCACAGCCCCGTGCGGTCAGGGTAATGACACAGACAGGGCCTCACAGAAGGAGCCAGCTGAGCCAGCCGTCCCCAGCGGTGAGGATGGGCGGCAGCGCTCACAGGGTTAACGTGTGGCAGGCGATGGGGGGAGCCTGCTGGGGGACCCCAGGGCCTCTCCGATGCTACTCCCTCCCTGCCTTCCCTGATACCTCCAGCTGGACTAGGGGAGCCCCTTCCCCGGAGGTCCCATCAGCGCCTGGGCATGGCCACCTCGGGCACCACAGCAGATCCTGGTGGCCCTGGGCCTGTCCTTCTGCCCCAGCAGACTCGGGCTCCCTGAGCT